TACCTAGTTTGGTTATTATCTACAAGGTGCTTAAAAACTGTTTAATAATTTGTTCCAGTATCTTTCTGGGTATCAAAGTTAGGCTGACTTGTCTATAATTCCCCAAGGTCCTACTTTTTCCCCTTTTTGAACATAGATATCATATTTGCCCTTTTCCAGTCCTCTGGGGCCTCACCTGTCCTCAATGGGTTCTTAAAAAGAACTGTTAATGGATCAAAAATTGCTTTGACAAGTTCCTTAAGTACTCTAGGGTGAGCTTCATCAGGCCCTGATGACTTGACTGCATCTAACTCATCTAAATATTCTTTATCCTGTTCTTTCCTATTTGAGCCTGATTTCCTTCCCCTTTGTTGTTAATACAAAACTAAGAGTAAATACTAAACAGGAAGTGTGGTCAGCAAGAGAGAAGGAGAAACAGAAAACGATAGTGCTTGAAGCCCAAAGGCGGAGAGACTCTTGAGCAGGGGATGATTCTCATTAACCAAACAGCGGAGAAATCAAGGGAAATTAATATAGAACCCTTAGGGTATGTCTATACGTACAAGATAAAAAAAAAACAAAACCAAAAAAACCCACCCCCATTACCCCTGCGTCAGTGAATCTCACAGCCCGGATATACAGACTCAGGCTTGTGCTATGGAATTAAAAATAATGTAGATGTTCCCACTCAGGCTGGAGCTTGAGCTCCAAGATCCTCCCACCCCCGACCGGATTTCAGAGCCCAAACTCTAGCCTAAAAGAATGCCTATGCTGCTATTTTTGTGCTGTTGTGCAAGCTCAAGTCTGCAGATGTGGGTTCCGAGACACTCTGCCGTGTGTTTTTTTGTTTTTGCAGCGTAGACACACCCACATACGAAGTTAGACAGAAATAACCAACTTAACTAGAATAAACTAATGCTTTACAGTAACCCATACGGAAAATGAAAGACAAAACTCCAGAGTGAGTTAAACAATACAACCTCAGAAATTCCTTTCCCTAAAATAGATTTTAGACAAGTCAAGGGTGGCCTTTTTCCATTACAACAGTAACAAAGGTAAACAAAAACTAATGAGTACTGAATTCAAATATGGGCCTTCAATCCCAAAGGATTCTCTAACCAAACAATTCTCCTAGAGAGTTCATCCCCATGTTAAACAGAAAAATGGTTTATTTGTTTTCCCACTGAATGCATCCAATGAAGTGAGCTGTAGCTCATGAAAGCTTATGCTCAAATAAATTTGTTAGTCTGTAAGGTGCCACAAATACTCCTTTTTCTTTTTAGAAAAATGAAGGTATCTTGCCAGTAGCAAAAGAGATAAATCATATCATTACATAAAACTTAAGGAATGTCCTAGAGTATAAAACCTACAATTATTACTGGCCCTCCTGCTTGAAAGCACCCACAGGAACACAGCCAGATCAGCCAGCCTCCCTTTCATTTCCCAGAGAGTAGTTAGCCAATGGCAACTATGCTTTGGAATGAGTGCAACAGTTCTTACAAAAATACATCTACTTTTTTCTAAACTACCACTTGCTCGCATGCACGTGGCACAGGAGTGTCAAAAGAGCAGGAGTAGAGCCCTCTTATCTTGCTTTTTATCAGCAACATATTCACTCACCTTATGTGCCCTATAGCTTTAATATAGTTCAGCACTTGGAATGTTGGGGTTTGCCAGAGAACGATACATTCTGCTATATGACTGCAATGGAGGACACTGATTTCTGACAAAGCTTTTGCAGAACTTAAGCATTTCTTCTTTGCCAGTTTTGGAACAGTCACATCATGGTCAACAGAGCACAGCTAAACAATTGAAAGTAAGTGATGAGATTTTTAACAATACACTAAGGAGTGGAAGGAAACTCCTTTCTCAGTCCACTTACAACACCGTCTTTACACTATATAAAATACAAACTTGCTCCATTCCTTGGATTTGGTTTCATTAACAAAGAACACCACTTTATACCAATTTTTGATTCAAAACAATATTTTGCCTCTTACCTCATGACTACTTCCTTTATTTAGTAGCCTTTTGTGAAGGACCTTGTCAAAGGCTGTTTGAAAATCTAAATCAACTATGTCACAATCAGTTTCTCTTTATCCAATACTAAATATGCTCAAAATATTTTAATATATTAGTGAAAAATTTCCTTTTGCAGAAACTGTGCTGAACAGGCCATATTATCAGGATTTCCAGGTCTTTTATTATTCTACCATTAATTATTGTTTCAATCAATTTCCCAGGTATGCAAGCCTTACTGGCCTGTAATTCTCCAGTTCACCCCTTGAGTTTGTTTTAAACATAGTATGTGTCATTAAGAGATGGCTAATGTATTTTATTTATTCATGTGTCTGGGTATCTAAACAACTGATACACATCACTTTTGATACCTACTGTTGACTTCTACTTGACCTTTTGAAGTAAATGGAAAGAAATTAAAAAAAAAAAAATCAGATATGCAGGTTTGCTTGGATTAAAACTGCACATATTATATACATTTTCCAGTTTATAAATTTTAACAGAAAGTGACTTTGCTTGGGCATCTGTACTAAGCCAGGTTTAGTTTATGACCATGCAATTCTCAAAACAAATTGTTTGCCTTCAATCTTGTTTTAAACATGTGTAGGTTCTTCCTGTACTGCTTACTGAACTCACAAGGGGTGGACAGGCAACCTGTGGAGCTAGTGAACTGCAGCATTGTTGCATAGAATGCAACTGAACAGAAGAGGCATTCATACTGTGCTCTGTAGTACAGCTCAAAATAAAAGCTAACACTGTAAATAACTCTGTATTCTTGAAAGAGCCCTGTTAACCTCAGGACCTCAAAGAAAGCTCTTACAGAAGGACAGAAAAAAATGAATTCTATTCAAAAACAAAAAAACACAGAGTGATACATTATATAATTTCCTACTAAGAATGGAAAAAGCTAGACTGGTTCCAACTGACTGAACCAGAGAACAGCAGGAGAGCAGCAGTTACAGGCCAGGTGCAGTTTATGTACAGATCACAGCAGGCCTACAAAAATATGCACCCAGACCTACTTCTTATTTTTAAATTAAAAATAAGAAAATTGAACAACAATGTATTTTACATTATTTTAACATTACACTGGGGAGCTGGGAGTGGGAGGGACCTTCTCAGTGCAGGATTTTACAGAGATTATATGAAGGCTATAACATAAATGAAGAATGTCTATGGTACCCGTATAAACTCCCAACCACGAATCTCATTGCCAAGCCTGACTACACCGGTATACAAAAACTTGATCACTGCTATAAAAATTACCAATAAATCATCCCTACTTTTAAATAATGTAAAGGCTCTTAGAAAAACACCTCCTGCCCCCCACAAACAACTCAAACTATCTGAACTTTGCTTTCATGGCGTTAATAATCTCGTGTTATTTCAACATATTTTGTGGTATAAATACCTTTAAACTTTAAAAAAAAAGAGGGTAAGTAAAACAGCAGTATTAAAAAACAAACCAATAAAAGAGAAACTCATGGCTGTGACTGGCATCTGATGAGATAAAGCATAATGGAACACTCATATATTGTTTAAATATCTATCGAGGTGAAACTAGTCTGACCGTATTTAGGAAATACTGCAATACCTTCCTCTTTGAAAAAGTCTTTCCACACACAATGCTCATAATTCCTACACCACTACCTCTAGACCTCTACCAATCAAAAAATAAGTGGTGGGAGGAGTTGATAAAATCTTTAAAAAAATAATATCAACAAAAATCCTGTTCCTAGCACAGTTTTAACCCTGAAATGGGTGAAGTGCCAGAAACGCCACAGAATCCACTAGGGACTTGTTTATTGCTACAGGTTTTACACAGAAGACACTCAGGTACTATGGTAATGGGCGGCAATACAAAATTCTAAAATTGATATTTAGAAAATGTGAACACACCACACTTCATATAGATACTTAATGCAATGAATCAGAACAGCTCCTTTGGGGTCTGACACAGATCTTGTTAAAATCCATAGAAAACTCCCATTGACTTGAATAGGCTTCGGATCAGTCCATTAGAGTATTGCGCAGAGCTCTGACACGGATTGTTTGACGCTTCTTAGCAGATGTAACTAGTTAACACAATTCCTCCTTACTGCATGGCTGTATTCTTGTGTACATCAGTTTTGTTCTTCACACCATATCCCTGAATAGCCTGAAGCAGCAGCTTCAAGGGACCAGAAGGGCAGCCGTCTCTCAAACTAATCCAACAGTGCCCATTTCTAGTTATTTTAACACCAACAAGGTGAAACAACTTTCAAGGTTAAGCCTAACAGTTTTGACAATGTCCCCTTCCTACTTGTAAATTTGCAACTGAAAGCTATTCTGGAGAACTGGATTCTATTTCTGCCTTTGCCACAGAGTTGCTATGCAATGCCAATCAAATCACAAACCAAACACACAGGGGTGTTGTGAAAATAAATGCATTAGTGTTTGGGACACGCTTAGATGATGTAGTGATGAGAGCCACAGTAAAGCCCATGACACAAGTAACAATTCTGTCTTCAAAGCAGAGTTTGAATAGCGTATACTAAAAAAGACATGGGACCACACTGAAAAATAAGGAGAAAACCAAATATTGAACAGCTACCCATTAAGCAAGCACCATCTATCCTGTGAATTGAACGAGGCAGGCTTCCAACGGGGGGAAAAAATTGTTTGTGATCATGTCATTAAAGACTGTATCTTAAAGCCTATGCACAAGGGGGAAGTGGGTTAAGAATGCACAGGAAACCTAACTTCTGAGTACTGGATTTCCAAGTTTAATAGAGTGCTTTTAATGTACGGTTTTGGACATCATACAAAACAGATTCCTTGTGAATTTAAATTTCATGGGAAAAACCTTACCCCAAAAGAAGTGTTGTACTGAATGGGAGAACAACACTTAAAACTGTATGGAAAAGCTCTTTAAATACATCAGGTCTCATGGATGCCACAACCCCACATGTTGGCAGCATTTAACACCATGGCAATAACAGGAGGATGTATTGCAGGCTTACCTGATATTCATTTGGCCAGAAGGTGCTGACAGCCAGCTCAGCTCGAAGCCAGTCCTTGCCAGTAGAGCCTGTCACATTCCAAATGGGATTAGCAAGAGGTCCCTTGTTCACCCTAACTAAGATGTTCAAGGTTCCAGGGTTCGCTCCACTCTTGCTATATAAAAGGTAACTGAAATCAATGCAGTGAGTGTCATTTTCCTTCATCGTAGGAAGTTGAAGTCGAGCCTTTTCTCCAGGATCATGGTCTGAGGAATCCACTATCATGCATGATCCTAGAAGAGACAAAGAGTTGAAGATAGATAAATGCAAGGATTCAAAACAGCTCACTCTAAAAAAGAGGGAAAGAAGATACATTGGCTGGCAGGCACTAATGTTCAAATATATTTAAAATACAATGCAAACCAAATATTGAGACTACAGGAGTAGCAACAGATTCAAAGGAATTTAGGCTGCTAGCCACCCAGGGGAATCCGCTGACTTAGCCACTTAGGCAGTCTGTACAAACATGGGAAAAGAGAGGCACTTGGGAATGCGATCCACTAAAGGCAGCACACTTGGCGGGGGTGCTATGTAAGCTAGGCCCACCCATCTAACAGCATCAGGTGCCTAAATCCGGGCTATAGGGTGGCATCTATCTGTGCCTGCAATCCACAGCTGGGAACACTTTCCTGGAGTCAGGCACCTTAGGCACCTAAGCTAGTTCTTGCAATAATGGCAGCAACACATTCTTAACTCCACACAAAACAACTAAGGTGGGTGGATGGTCACCCTTATAACCTTTAGCCCAGTAGTTAATGGTACTCATCTCGGATGTTGGAGACCCCACGTCAAATTCCTGCCTCTGCCTCATGAAGAGAAGGGATTTGAACCAGGCTTTCCCACCCCTCAGGTAAGTTCCCTAACCACTGGGCTACAAAGTCATTCTCACTATCTCTTGTCCAATGAGTAATTATTAACACAAAGAGGAATGGCTTCAACAAGAGATACTGAGAGAACCCCACATGAAAATATCCCATATTCCATCCTAAATCTGGGATTTGGGAGACAAAGGGATTTAAGCATTTAAGGCCCAGTTTTAACGGATATGGGCCATTCTGCCTTGCTGAATTTTCCCAGCAGTTTCAAATGGATACAGGAATCTTTTTTCTATTTCCTATCTTATACTTTTGGGTAGCACTCTTTTTGCCTGTTTAAGAACTGCTACATTTCATGCCAGAGATGGCTGTGTTTCAGTGGAGAGTTAAGTGAACCATACATTCAGTTTGTATAATGGTTTCTGAAGTACTTTGTGATCCTTTGGGATGAAAGGCTTTACAGATCTCAGTTATTTTAAGGTCCCATTCTGCTCTAAAGAAACTAAAAATGGCACTGTGGGGTTCTAAGTTTATATCATCTCTGGACTGCCAGGTCAAAATTTGCTCAATTTACAAGTATAAATATGTTTTTTGTAATTAATACCTCAGCATCTCAACCTGGGATCACATACATTACCAGAAAAAAGGTTTTGCAGTCCAAATTACACTCTCCATTACACCTGTGTGACACAATGGGGTTCCAAAGCCACAATGCAACCAGAACTTGGCCCTCAATTGCAACTCGAATTATTCTGATGATTCTCGAGAGAGAGACACCACCTCAGTCTCTCCTGGCCCTATTGGCTCAGAAAAGCTAACAATAACTGGTATTAAAAGTAGCAAAACATGTCAATAAAGGAAGCAGACAGGACTCTACATACAAACAGAGAAAGTGAGGCGGTGCATCTTTTCAGAGTACAATATACATGCCATCATCCCAAAAATATTTAAGTTGCTTTGTGAGGACAGAAAATGCTCTCTCCAGGGCTGATTTTTGTCAGGGTTGAAGGTTTAATGTTTGTACTAAAATGCATTTTGGACTCTTTACCCCTATGAATAAATATGAAATATTGTTAAACCACATAAAATGCCTTAATTTTCCTACACGTGTTCCTATAGAGCAATGACACTGAAAGATGACCTTATATTGAGCTAGATCGTGCAACCGTTACTCACATTTGTGAGCATTTATTCACACTAAGAGCCCCAAAGCCACATTCCTTGTGTGACTAAATTCTTGCAAACAGTAAGGGCTGCAAAATCAAGCCTATTGTTAGTAATTAGTGGAGCAACTGTGACAATTTTTAGTAAGCAAAAGCGCTCTTTGGAGCAGTCAGGTGTATGATGTAAGTAAAATAAATTACACTATACGCCAGGAGGCATTGTGTGGAGGTTTTTGAAAATGCACATGAGCTACAGGAACAATAAATTGTTGATAAGTTATTGATCAGTGGAAATGTCATGAATATAGGGGGAAGGGTAGTAATCTTTATGTATGCAGTAGCATAAAATCCTTCCTTGGCAGCTGTACTGGATTGCCCTACCTGTAAATGGTTGAGCAATTCAAATAACCTAGGTGGCACCTGACCAGATGGACCAATGAGAAAAGAAGATACTTTCAAATCCGGGAGGGGAAGGATTTGTTTTTGTTTTGTGTTGTTTCCTCTCCGGAAGGAGGGAGAAGCCAAGCCAGTACAATATTGCCTGAAAACATACCTGAAATAATCCATCTGAAACCACAGAAACTGTTAGGAGTGCAAGGAAATACGTTAAGTGATCTTTTGTTTTGGCTTGTGAATTTTCTTGTTGCAGCTTAACTACTTTGCCTTCTGGCAAAAAAAATAACTCCAGCTGCTCTCACCTGGAAAAAAAAAAATAAAAAAAGTATCCCTCCCTGGTTTTCAAGCACCCAAAAGGAAAAATGTGTCCTTTTAAAATCCTGAGGTCTGTGCTTCTGGTTCAAAATGATCCTACCGCTACTACCATGTCAGGGTTTCCCCCACACACACTCTGAACTCTGGGGTATAGATGTGGGGACCCACACGAAAGACCCCCTTAACCTTATATTCTACCAAGTTAGGTTAAAAATTCCCCAAGGCACAAATTCCTTTCCTTGTCCTTGGACGGTATTACTGCCACCACCAAGCGATTTACACAAAAATTCAGGGAAGGGTCACTTGGAATCCCTATCCCCACAAAACATCCCAAGCCCCTTTACCCTCTTTCCTGGGGAGGCTTGAGCATAAACTACCAACCAGTTGCCTTGGCAATGTGAGCACAGACCAGACCCTTTGTCTTCAGGACACTGAAATCAATCAGGTCCTTAAAAGAAGAACTTTATTTATAAAGAAAAAAAAAAGAATCACACCTACAAAATCAGGATGGAAGGTAAAAAAAAAATTTCAACACAGAGGATTCCCCTCTGGGCTCAGCTTCACAGTTACAAAAACAGGAATAAAACTACCTCTGTAGCACAGGAAAATTCACAAGCCAAAACGAAAGATAACCTAATGCACTTCCTTGCACGCAATCACAGACATGAAGGTCGCTATCTTAAAACAAAAAAACTTCAAATCCAGACTCCAGCGAGAAACTGCTGAATTGGAATTCATTTGCAAATTGGATACTATTAATTTAGGCTTAAATAGAGACTGGGAGTGGCTAAGTCATTATGCAAGGTAGCCTGTTTCCTCTTGTTTTTTCCTACCCCCCCCCCAGATGTTCTGGTTTAACTTGGATTTAAACTTGGAGAGTGGTCAGTTTAGATGAGCTATTACCAGCAGGAGAGTGAGTTTGTGTGTGTATGGGGGTGGGGGGATGTGAGAAAACCTGGATCTATGCAGGAAATAGCCCGACTTGATTATGTAAAGAGTTGTCACTTTGGATGGGCTAGCACCAGCAGGAGAGTGAATTTGTGTGGGGGGGTGGAGGGTGAGAAAACCTGGATTTGTGCTGGAAATGGCCCACCTGTTGATCACTTTAGATAAGCTATTACCAGCAGGACAGTGGGGTGGGAGGAGGTATTGTTTCATATTCTCTGTGTGTATATAAAGTCTGCTGCAGTTTCCACGGTATACATCTGATGAAGTGAGCTGTAGCTCACGAAAGCTCATGCTCAGATAAATTGGTTAGTCTCTAAGGTGCCACAAGTACTCCTTTTCTTTTTGCGAATACAGACTAACACGGCTGTTCCTCTGAAACCTGTCAGTTTCTGTGGTTTCAGATGGATTATTTCCAGGTATATTTTCATGAGATATTGCACCTGCTTGGCTTCTCCCTCCGTCCAGAGAGGGAACAACACAGAACAAAAACAAATCCTTCCCCCCAAGATTTGAAATTATCATTTTTTCTCATTGGTCCTTCTGGTCAGGTGCCACCTTGGTTATTTGAACTGCTTAACCCTTTACGAGGTAAGACAATCCAGTAAAGCTGCCAAAGAGGGATTTTTTGCTACTGCATACATAAAGGTTGCTACCCTTCCCCCTATATCCATGACAGGAAATAAAAATGTTTGTGTGTAAATGGGATAGTAAAATCAGCATTTGACTCATTTGATAAAACTTTCCACTGACTTGCATAGCAATTCCGCACTGCACAATTATTCGCTAACAAAATAGAAAGCAAATGTTTTACAGACTCAAATAAATTAGTTTTTACAAAGCTATGTTACTCATGTTTTTTAATTATTATTTTGTTAATTGATCTAGGAATAAAAACCCTTTTTAAAAAAAGTTGTATACTTGATACAGCTTCAGTGCCCAGTTTATATTTGATTACCCATGTAGAACCCGCCATTATGATCTCTTTACAGGCAACTTGGCAAAATTTCATTGGCTAATTGCCAGCTCCTTCACTGTTACTGCTCATTTTTAAAAATGAAATGAAAGGTACTAGGATATTTAAGTTCATTATTATTATAACTCTCCAACAATTATGGTTTAAAATTGATAGACAATTGTGCATTGATGGTTCCTAGCATTGTTACTATAATGGACTCACTGGCATTCAGCTGTTATGCCTGTTGTCTCTAGAGTAAACTTCAAAAAACTATTTGGAACCTACCTTTTAGCTCAGAGATACTGTTGAAATCATTGGTGGTTTCTGGTTAGTGCAGTTTGACATAACTTATTGTCACAGCTTTGGTGATTACTACTACTCATTTGGCCTGTAATGTGTTCACTGCCATTTCTTTTGCTAATTTAGGATTAGAAGTAAGAAAGCAAAAAATACATTAAGATTCTGTTCTACAACACTAGCACAAAGACTCCTTCAGCCAACTATAGGGGTTGAACTTGCCTTTAACAAAATGCCTTCCGTAATTACATTTACTTTACAAATACTTTTAAATGATGGGCAAACCATCACCGTTTTTCCAGGAGAATGGAGGTTTTATTAAGCATTCTGATAGCTACCGCATA